ACCTTGTTATCTATGGAAGAAATGGGAGTTGGTTCACAATTTGAAGGTGTTGAACTTAATGTTACGTCGAGAAGGCTGTGAAGTGCCTACTTTTGAAGATGAGATGTTGTTCCTCCAGTTTGCGCTGTGATTCACTGGAACTCTGTAGCATACCGAGGACAGATAAATGGGCATGCGAGCGGGACATTGTTGAAATGTCCAATTACAGGAAGGTCAGGGTCATGCTTGCGTACAGATCAGAGGTGTTCTGCAAAGCTGTCATCCAGTCTGCTTTTGGTTTCTCAAATGTAGAGTCGGCCACATTGGGTGCAGCGAATATAATACACCAGATTAGAGAGGGTACAGGTGAAATGCTGCTTCATCTGGAAAGACTGTTTAGGCCCTCGGATGGTGAGCAGGGAGGAGGTGATGGGGTAGGTGTTGCAGCATTCTGCAGGATAGCACCACCAAACACATCTTCCCCTCACTCCCCTGTCTGCATTTCGCAGGGATCGTTCCTTTCAGGACACCCTAGTCCATTCCACAACCAGCACCACCATCCCGTTCCCACAGTACCTTCTCATGTAACTGCAGAAGGTACAACACCTGCCCCTTCACCTCCTTCCTGCTCACCATCCAAGGGCCTAAACAGTCTTTCTAGGTGAAGCAATCTGCAATCTTGTGTATTGTATTCGCAGCACTCGATGCAGACTGGGTGACTGCTTTACAGTTGCGCAAGCATGACCCCGAACTTCCTGTAGCTGGCCATTTCAAAACGTGTCCAGATCACATGCCCACTTGTCTGTCCTTGGCATGCTGCAGTGCTCCAGTGAGGACTCTGGGTTTAGAAGGATGAAGGGGAATCTAATTGAAACTTGGAGAATACTGAATGGCCTTGACGGAGTGGATGTTGGGAAGATGTTTCCATTGGTAGGAGAGACTAGGACATGAGGGCACAACCTTAGAGTAAAGGGAAGACCTTTTAAAACAGAGATAAGAGAAACTTCTTCAGCCAGAGAGTGATGAATCTATGGCATTCACTGCCACAGAACGCTGTGGAGTCCAGGTCATTGAGTACACTTAAGATGGAGACAGACAGGTTCTTGATTATCAAGGGTTACGGGAAAAAAGTGGGAGAATGAGGTTGAGAAACTTATCAGCCATGATTGAATGGTGGAGCAGACTCGATGGGCTGGATGGCCTAATTTGCTCCTATGTCTTATGGTCTTAATCACAGAGCAAACTGGAAGAACAATTTCTCATCTTCAGACTAGGCACTTTACAACCTTCTGGACTTACTTTGAAGGTGTTGGACTCAATATTGTGAAACAATTCCCATTTCTTTCCTTCCTTTTATCTTTACTTCTTATATTTTTGTCACCATGTCCTCTCCCTGCCTCCCACCACCCGAGTGAGACTGTCTTTTCTCTTTCAAGTCTGGCAGTTAGACACATGTTTGTTCTGCCATCCTCACATTCTGATTATTTAATCAGAACTATTGTCTTTTCTCTACCAGCTCTTGACACCCCACCGCCTCCACACGCAACCCTCCTTCAACTATAGCATAAATGCTGCCCCCTCCACACCCCCTTCAGCTCTGATGAAGTCATTAGACTTGAAACATTAGCTTTTTCTCTCTCCATGGATGCTGTCTGACCCGCTGTGATCGCCAACATTTGTTGATTTCAGTCCAGATTTCAGTTCAGCTCCTTCACTGAAACCCATTGTAGGTCATGTTCACACACTGTTGCTTTGCAAGCAATTTGGAAAGGTATAAAAGGCATGACACCAGGCCATGTATACAAAGTGAGATTCAGCTTGCAAAAGGTTTCTGATTGGTTCGTTAATTGTGACCAGTTAAAGCAAAAGTTCATCAGCTTGACAACAACTCGGGTTGCTGTGGAGCTGAACAGCTATTGAGTGTGAATGATGTAAACAGAAGCCTTCGGACCTCTGGTGTGGAGGTGGTGCTCATCTATCCCTCCAGTGGGAATACCTAGAGCCTGTAAAAAGCCACCAGTTTCTGTCAGTTGTTGCTTTTAATCAATAAGTCAGTAACTTTACCATTTGTGAACCAGTTGCTTTGTGCCGGTTGTGAAGGAATGAAAGAATCTGAAGGAAAATACCAGAGAACTAAAGGATTGGAAAACAAAAGGAATGTCTCCATCGAATCTAAAATATAGTGCTATTGTACCATTTCCCCAGTATTCTTCTCCCCTCCATCTATAACACCGGTGTTATAAGGAGGGGAGTTGAGTGATATGTCAGCAGTTTATTGTTTACTTGTGGTTACAATCTATTTATTTGTAATAAATTGTAGTTCTTATTAAGTACAGAAATCTCGTCCATGTTTTCTGTTAACATGATGAGTTAGGTAAATTGATCACTTTGCGTACTTGGATTTTTGTTAAAACCTTTTGTGATGACTCTGGGACAGTGGGACTTGATTTCCACCATGCTTCCCAGTGAGCCACAACACACAATAACAGTATTGCTTAACATGGACCCAGTTAAGTCAGTGAGGACAGGGATGATGTGTAAATAGGTGTGCATACAAATTAAGACATGGACAGCAGAAATTTGGATGATCTCAAGATTGTAATCAGTCACGATCATATTGAATGGAGGAGCAGGCTCAAGAGGCTACATAGCACATTCCTTGTTTTTTAAAATTAAATCTCATATTCTTCCTGTAAGCTTTTGGGGCATGGAATATGAGAAGCTGGCCAGCAATGTTCAGAATAGTCAAATCTAGACGTCCTTCAGTGTTGCTAGTTCAAGATCCAGGAATCCTCTTCTGAATGGTATTGTGGGTTGACCTACACCAAATGGACTTCATTGGTTTAGAAAGGCAGCACACCACGATCTTCTCAAGGACAACTAGGAATGGGCAATAATCCTGGCTTAGCCAATGTCACCCATATCCCATGAATGACTAAAAATAATGGTGTAAATAAGAGTTTCAATTGCATAAGAACTGAGGCAAAGATGGAGTTAAAAGGTGTGTAGGTGGAAATGGATGTTATCAATAATGGCACAGAAATATGATCTGTTTGGGATGATTAGACTTGGGGAGCTTCAAGGAAGAGTGAAGAATATGGTGACCAGAAAATGAGTTTATATTTGGGGCAGAAGTCAGTGTTGTAAGCCAAAGTCAGTATTGGCAATATTACCTAGAGGAGTGGAAAGAGACGGTTGTTTCACAATTTTTATCTGCTGTATTTTTCTTCTGTTTGTCTTAGTATGGGCTAATATAGTTGTGGAACCACAGTGCGGATTTGTTCGTCTGAATATTGCTATTTTGGAACTGATCTAAATGAAGGATTCAAATCTCCCATCAGTTAAATATATTGCCAAGCAACAAACATTGAGGAGTAGCTGCATGTAACTGCAAACCCAGAGAAGTTAATTGCTTTGCCTCTTATCTTTATCTGTCTTTATTCGTAATTTCCCATTGCAATCTCTTGAGCTGATCAATTGCCAAATTTAAGTTAAATTTGCCTAATATTTTGATACTATGTGGTTTAAGCAGCAAAATATCAGATAGCAATGTAACTTATTTGTTCACAGCTATATGATGAATGATATTAAAAACATACAAGCTGTTTAAGTAGCAGTCTGACTTTTGAAAACTAATTTCAGCCCCTGAAGTACAATTTCAGTAAATTGCCAACTTGTCACCTTCCATTCTCTGTTAAATTTAGCAAATATAATGTACATAGTTATGTTGTACTTCAGCTATTGCAGTCAAGGTTGAATTCCTTTCTAAAATATTTAAACAATTATGTACAGATTTCTTTCTGATTTTCTCATTTGTAAACAAAATTGACTTGGAAACTGCAACCTAAAGTCCTCAAGCAGCTTCTATCCAACCAGATTCTTGATGGAATTGAAAACATACGAAACACTCTGCTACTCAGTAAAACTGATTCATTAGACAATACATTTTTTATAGTGCATGTAAAATCTTGCTGTATGTTAATTTGCTGCAATACCTGCCTGTGTAGCTGTAAACATGTGTCCTGCGAACGTGAACGATTCCTCATGTATCAAAGTTTTTGTTTCTTGTTTCTTTAATCATTCTGAATTGATGGATAGCTCATTAGTTCCATAATATTACCAAGTCACTAAAGAATGAATGCAGGTTATGATGATGTCCAAGCATGCAGCCAGAGTCAGAACATTTGTTTAAAAACCTGGGGCAAGGCCCCACCATTTGTTCTTTCAGCCAAAGGTGGGGATAAACAAGAACTCTGAAGAAATGGTTCTCAAAAATATACAAGCAATCCTTTTAAAGGCTTAATGCAAACCTAATTTTGTACTCATTTTTCAGTTCATTAGACATGCTCCAATTGATTTGTTTTGATGCAGGGACCATTTCTATTCTTCCCACCATCCTTTACCTTATCACGGGAGTCATTAAAGAAACTGCAGTCAAGACGCTTGATGGTTGTACATCTTTAACAGTTGGTGCAGCACTGCAGGCATTAAAGGCTGTTGTTTCCTCTCCTATGGCTCGAGCAGAGAAGAGCCATGCTGCATGGACAAGGCTTCTCCGCAGTGCTCTTGCAACGATTTTAGAATTTTGGAATCCAGGTAACAGACTTTTGTTTTGTTAAACTCTGAACAATAAACAATATATTTTCTTACAAGAGTATTTCAGTTTTTTAAGGGAAAAAGTTTTTCACTACCATCAGCAACAAGAACTTGCATGTGTATAATGTCCTTAATATATAAAAAGTCTCAATGTTTTATAGGAATGCAAGATCTTGTACTTACTTGGCAACCAAAACACTGTTAAATATACTAAGATGCTGCACAAGAATGCTATCAAACAAAACTTGATACAGAGCCACATCAGGAACTTCAGGGACAGGTGACCTAAAGTTTGTGAGGAAGTTGGATTTAAAGAGCATTTAAAGGAGGCAAGAGAGATTGAAAGAGACAGAAGTTTAGAAAGTTAATCTTTAGTCCACGGTATCTGATCAGTAGTAGAACAATAAATATGAAGGATGTTCGGGAGGTCAGAGTTAGATAAGCTCGTTTATATTGGAGGGTTGTGCAACTGAATCACGAAGGAAGATTAATTCAAAAGACATTCAACAGAATAAAAACAGAAGGACTTTTGTAGGGAGTTTGTGAAATGTTTTGGATTCCTAGCCCAGGTCTCCATTTTTTTTTGTTTTTAAATGTCAAACATTCTGTTACTTAGATTCATACTTGTATCTTAATTTCTGTGTTGAAAATTAACTTACTCAGGCTTGCTTCATTTCCACCTACTAGATATTCCCATCTGTAACTTGCTTTCCATTTGGTGCTTTTGCCTGGTATCTGCTGTTTGTGTCTCTGACAAGTGCACCAAATTTTCATATAAGAGCAACTAAATTGTTTACATTTTGTAGAAATCTCTGTTTTTACAAAAGCATTGTTAAAAATAATATAGATGGAAGATAAACATCAGGACCATGCAGAGGTCCTCATGCAGCTGCCTATGTGAGAATTTCCCAGCAAGTTAACAGTATCTGGAGCCTCCAAAAAATAAGTTATAGCGAGATATTCTGAGAGTCTTAACTGAAAAGTTTGCAGTATTACAACTTGCTCCAATTGCTGGCCAACTGTATAAGACACCTGATTATTTGACTTGGCTCCATCACTTCCACTATCAGCACGCATGATTGCACGTAGACAGTCCCTGAAGCTGGAACCAACCAATACCAATTCTAAACTCCACTTCCCCAACCTGTACAGCACTTGACTCTCCCCACCCTCTTTCCCCTTCCAGATCTGAGTCCCATCCTATGGACCCGACTCTCCCATCCCAATGGTTCCAACCCAACTCTCTAACACCCACCTGCCAACTTCGGACAAGACCCCAATTCACTTAACTGCTCAACACTTTGCTACCCAACCAGTTTTTGTATCCTATCTACCCTGCCATCCAGCCACCTTACGCTTCCAAGCCCGCACCCGACCCTTGTTTCCCTGCCTCTTTAACTCACTACCACCACCACCCCTCCCAAAAAAAATCTTTTTACCTACTTAGTTAACTCACATTTATTCACTAACACACTGAAAATCTGTCTAAATTTCTAATAGCTGTTCAGTGTTTGTGAATGATTAGATTTACCAGAATATGCAATTACTGTTGATGATGAGGGGGCAGCATGACTTGGCTTTCCCTCAGCTGTCCCACACTATGGGAATTTAGCTGGGTTAATGGTCCACTGTACACTTTTGAGGCCTCCTGCATTAGAGGAAACACGCAGGGAACAGGCACAGCATTTTAAAAAAAAGTGGGTAGAAGAGCAGTAATCTGGAAGGAGCTGATTAGATTCAGTCCAAAGTTGCTGCATTGCTGTGACTTGTAGATTCCTTTGCCTTTTGATTATTAGTTAGATCTTTGAATTCTTTGTGCAATGGGTGTAGAATAGAGCTAGAACAAAGGAATTGCATCCTGTATCTGCTATCAGGCTAGATCTTCAGTTGATCCATGTCAACCCAGGGTTGGAAGGTGTCAAAATTCTTAAGTGCACAATCCTCTTGTTAATCCCTGAATCACTGTTGTGTCTATTGCATCTCTATGTAGCAGAATATTTTTTGGATTTTTTTTGTTGCTGTTTACAGTCGAACAATGTTTGATTCAGTGTGAACCAAAAATTGTCGAACTTTGCAGTCACGAAAAGTCGTAAGAATCATAGAGCTGTATAGCATGGAAACAGACCCTCTGGTCCAATTTGGATATGCCAACCAGATATCCTAAATTAATCTAATCCCATTTGCAAGCATTTGGCTCATCCCTCTAAACCCTTCCTATTCATATACCCATCCAGATGCCTTCTAAATGTTGTAATTGTACCAGCCTCTACCACTTCCTCTGGCAGCTCATTCCATTCACACCACCCTCTGTGTGAAAAAGTTGCCCCTTAGGTCCCTTTTTAAATCTTTCCATTCTCACCTTAAACCTATTCTCTCCAGTTTTGAACTCTGCTACCCTGGGGAAAAGAACTTGGCTATTCACCCTATCGGTGCCCCTCATGATTTTATAAACTTCTGTAAGGTCACCTTTTCTCATCTTGTACACAGTAACATTTTGACGATACACATGGAAAGATCTAAATTGTGCCAAAGATTAAAAGTCTTTCCTCTCCAAAACCAGCCCTTGAACTTCAATATAAATTAGAGGGAAATAAAATGCTTTAGTTGTGGCCCATTGTCTAAATTTTGCACGTTTTGTTGTTTTCGTAGAGATGACTCCATCAGAACTGGATGAAGTGAGCATGCTAACTGCCATTAGTATTTTCTTGATGTCAGCAAGTCCAGAAGTCACCTGTGTACAGTGCCTTGAGAAAAAATGTATCAACAGGTTTAAAATAGTTCTTAGTTCTAAAAATCCAATAGTAAGTATTCTGTAAGGTTTACTTAAATTTATTTAAATTTAATGGAGAAGAGAGATACTATGTTTACAGTTATTTCATCTACTTTGATTTATAGTTGAAATCAAATGAACGTTATCAAAAATGCATCTTTGTTTTTTTTATAAACTATGCTGTTGTTGATCTACTTAGACCCAAAATTTGATCCGAATTGGTGTTGAATTAACTTATCAATTGCTATGTTCATGATGATAATAGGAAGCCATTCCCTTGTAGAATTCATTCTTGATGGACGTTTTCCATTTTCCTTGTCTCACTACTCATCTGCATCTGAATAACTGCAGAATCTTAATTAATATTAAACTCTTCAAAATGCCAAAGTGGTCCAGGGGCGAGGATGCTAAAATAACCTTGAGTAAATAGAAACAGCAAGAGCCCATGCCCGAATTATAATGCAGTTACCATTGAAGAACAATGTGCATGTAGATATTGGGGGAAGGTAACATTTACCTTGGTTGTAATTCCCCTCCTATTTCAGATGCATCACCGTCCAGGTTGATGTTAAAGAGTTATTGAGACATTTCTGGATCAATACCCAGTCAAAGTAAATCTTTTCAGCAGAAGAGGGAAGAACATTTTTGTACAAATTTTAAATGGAGCATGTTTTTGAATTTAGCTAATTAATATTTGGATTCGCACACAAATTGACATGGAAAATTAAATGCTTATTGTCAGAAAACTTCATGAAATGTAACCAGCACAGCAGTGCAGTGGCTTATTTGTTAATACACTACATGATGCAGCATTTAAGCAAACAGATGAGGAAGAACAGAAGTTTTGTTTCTGATCTGGTGAATTAACTGGTGATGAAGTCAGAGACCTTATTCTTAAGAACTATCCACCCAATGACTGTTCTGTAAAATACACTTGCAAACATCAGGCAGAATCAGGTTTGGCTTTGATATCCCTGAAGATCTCATTGCCTACTCTCAGATTAATAAATCTCTCCTTGGTTTTCGATAAGGTATGATAGGACTGATAATGCTGTGACCCAAGCCTGAGTCAATAACTGAGGAGGATGGAAACCAAGAATAAAATTAAGGCATCAGCAGAGATCTTTGCTGATGAGCCTTAAAAGGCAGCAGCTTCTGCCTGTTTTTCATATGGTGAAAGAGACTTCAAAACAAGAATTCATCCGAATTAGGCTAACATTTCAACATATAATACATTATAATAGCATATGTTAAGTCCTATTTCAAATTTTGCCAAAATCTGATTCAGTTTTTCAGTACTTATGCTTTTTGTCGTCTTTCATCTTAGGTGCTCGTGCAGTGCTACAAATTGCTGCAGTCAATATTTCAGCATCCTAATCGGGCAGTATCTACCCCTTACATTCACTCCCTGACTATTTTAATTGTACAAAGATTGCGAGACGTGGAGAAAGAGATGCCAAGCACATGTGCAGAATTGCAGGCTATGCAAGCAGGATTGAAGACTTTGGAGACTTTGATCACCTTAGCTGAAGAACAAAACCGTGAGTGTGATTATGCAGTTCACTTTAGACTTGAATTACGTTCAATTTATAGCTGAGGGACCTTAAGAATTTAAGTCAATTTTTAATTCTGTTATTATCCTTGTTTCCTTTTCCACTGCTGTGCAAATGAATGCTCAAGTCCTGTGCTTGAATCCTCCTATTGTTACCTGCTGGAAAGCATGAGATACTACCTACATAGTAAATTATCATGTAGTTTTTCCCATTGAATAGTTGTCTGAGAATGGAAAGAAAAGAAAGATAGCACAACTTTCTTCAAAAGAGTCATCCTCCTCTCCCCATCCCCCACAAATTGGTTCATGAAGGGCAGGTCATGCTTGACAAATCTTTTGGAATTCTATGAAGACTTTATGAGCAAGGTGGACAATGGGGACCCAGTGGATGTGGTGTACCTAGATTTCCAAAAGGCCTTTGACAAGGTGCCGCACAAGAGGCTACTGTATAAGATAAGGATGCATGGCATTAAGGGTAAAGTATTAGCATGGATAGAGGATTGGTTGACTAACAGGAAGCAAAGAGTGGGGATAAATGAGTGCTATTCTGGCTGGCAGTCAGTGACTAGTGGTGTACCTCAGGGATCGGTGTTGGGACCGCAATTATTTACAATTTATATAGATGATTTGGAGTTGGGGACCACGTGTAGGGTGTCAAAGTTTGCTGATGACACTAAGATGAGTGGCAGAGCAAAGTGTGCAGAGGACTGTGAAACTTTGCAGAGGAACATAGATATATTGAGTGAGTGGGCAAAGGTCTGGCAGATGGAATACAATGTAAATAAGTGTGAAGTCATACATTTTGGTGGGAGTAATAGTAAAAAGGATTATTACTTGAATGGTAAAAAGTTGCAGCATGCTGCTATGCGGAGGGACCTGGGTGTCCTTGTGCATGAATCACAGAAGGTAGGTCTGCAGGTACAACAAGTAATTAGGAAGGCAAATGGAATTTTGTCCTTCATTGCTAAAGGGATTGAAATTAAAAGCAGAGAGGTTATGTTGCAGCTGTACAAGGTGCTGGTGAGGCCACACCTGGAGTACTGTGTGCAGTTTTGGTCTCCTTACTTGAGAAAGGATGTATTGGCACTGGAGGGGGTGCAAAGGAGGTTCACTAGGTTGATTCCGGAGTTGAGGGGTTTGGCTTACGAGGAGAGACTGAGTAGATTGGGATTATATTCATTGGAAATCAGAAGATTGAGGGGGGATCTTATGGAAACATATAAGATTATGAAGGGAATAGATAAGATAGAAGTAGAGAGGATGTTTCCACTGGCAGGTGAAGCTAGGACAAGAGGGCATAGCCTCAAGATTAGAGGGAGCAGATTTAGGACTGAATTGAGAAGGAATTTCTTCACCCAGAGAGTTGTTAATCTATGGAATTCCTTGCCCAGTGAAGTAGTTGACGCTACTTCAGTAAACGTTTTTTAACAAAAAGGTAGATTTTTTTTGAACAATAAAGGAATTAAGCGATACGGTGAGAACGCGGGTAAGTGGATCTGAGTCCATGAAAGGATCAGCCATGATCTTACTGAATGGCGGAGCAGGCTCGAAGGGCCAGACGGCTTACTCCTGCTCCTAGTTCTTATGTTCTTGTGTAAATGTTTCTGAAGATGGTGAATTATGCTATTATGCTATTTTGCAGTCTGTCAGCCCCTCAGACAGCTTCGAAGCCCAAATCCTGTTTTATCCCAATATCTTTTGGATGAACAAAAACAAAATTGCTGGAGAGGCTCAGCAGGTCTGGCAGCATCTGTGAAGGGAAAAACAGAGTTAATGTTTCGGGTCCGGTGACCCTTTGTCAGAACTGAATCAGAACTGCAACTCCAGCAATTTTGTTTTTGATCCTGATTTACAGCATCCGCAGTTCTTTTGGTTTTTATTTAGTCTTTTGGATGAAAATGCTTTAACATCCTTGCACACTTTTCTAAATTGTTTAGAAATTCTGATTTATTTTCTCCTTGGCCAGAATGCTGACTGTCAGGCTCCATTAGCAGTTCAGCTCTTTTTCAAGAAGGAATAGTAATTGCTTTATTTGAAATTGAATGTACATTGAATTCAGAACATAATGAAATATTCACAAGTGAGACCTTCAGCTCTTAAGTTAGTTGTCATGTTCACTAAATTGCAAATTTTTTAACTCCACTCCCTTTTGGTGCTCATGCTTTCATTCATTTTCTGTACGGTAATTCAACTTGACCGCTGCTGAATATATTTGTAAAGATTCAGTTCTAGTGTAAATGTGTTTAAATTGTTTGTTCACATGTTGCAGGAGTCCACTTGGTAGTTTTGTTTCTGCCAATCCTGATATCTTGTCTTTTGGATGAAAATACTTTAACATCTGCAACAAATCCTGCCAAGAGTTTACATGAGTTTGCCCTTCAAAACCTGATGCAAATAGGCCCTCGGTATCCATCCATTTTTCAAAAACTAATGGGTACTTCTCCAGCTATGAAAGCCAGGCTTGAAGGTGCTGTTAAAGGTAACCAGGAGAGCATCAAAGCAAAGACAGCAGCTGGACAGTCCAAGTGTTCTGGAAAATCTTCTCCGAGCATTCAACTCAAGACCAATTTTTCAAATTTCTAAGAGCTGTGAACCAGTTTACGGAACTGCGAGTAGCATTAAGCTGACCAGACTACACCAAGCAAAGGAATATGAATGGAAGAAATCTTATCACTTAATTTAACCTGGCATGTGGCTAATCTTGTTTGACTTGATAACAGAGGGCTAAAATTTAGAGCAACACGTGGATGTATTAACCTTTAACTTGGTGAACATCCCAAATTTAGTGTTCTAAATCCATGTTTACAATTTTAAACATTTATTTCACCATTCTCACTTTAATTGCTAATTCACTAAACTGAAGTCTTAAAAGTATGTATACTCTTGTTATTACAATAGCTTAAGGATTTGGAATGGGCTTGTTAACAAGGACTTGATCTCCAAGGAAACAAATACAACTAGATTAGTAATAATTTTAAAGGTAATTTTATGCAAACATCTTTTTCATTAAGAAGATGGCACTACTCTTGCCAGAATTTGTGAAAACCTAATGCAGCAGTATTGGTTAGTATGATCCACAACATACCAATTTATAACCAGCAGTAGCTAACTTCATAAATGGACTCTGAAGATAATTGCACTACAATGCTATTATTTTTTTAAGTGAACAAAGTTACCACTACTAAATCTGTTTTTAAAAATGTACTCTGGACTCTCTTGAAACTTTAAAAAAATAAATTTGTAACCATAAATTGTTTACTAAATATGGCTATTGATGCCACCCAGTTGTGTTTTTGTCAGTAATAATGATGATGCACACTGTATGTGTATAGTATTCTTATTCTGTAGTAATCTATACAGAAATCTAATTCCAAAAGTTATTCTCACAGTAAAGCAGTCTGCCTGCTCCCACTGACTAGTTTGTGTCCTTTGGCTTAACTAAAGCTCTGAAGTACTGTACTAATAGATGGCTTAAATGCCATGTACATAACACAATTGTAAATTCTACAGAATAACCACGTGCATTATTGTTCCATTTTGCTTTTGTAACTTTACTGAAATAAAGCTGATTTAATTTTGTCTGCTTTATTGTTCCTAATTTTCCCTTCCTATTAAGTTGTTCTGGTCCCATCATATGACTCCACAGGTTCCAACAAAAAAAGGCAACAAATTTAATATTTTCTTTGTTGTCCTTTTGTTTTTGTCTTGGCCATCTTTTTCTTTTCTTCTGCTGTAGGTGCTGATATGTGGCATACAATTCCATAGGTACTATCGAGCATTCCACATGCGGGAACTAAATAATAAATTTTGACAGACCTTTTTTATTCTAAGGTGAGTCAATAGAAAATAGATTTATATTGTTTCACTTTAGGCACTTTAGAGCAATGACTGTATCCCTAACCCAGGAACACTGATAATCGTTTATACTCCAAAGTTTGTTCTAGCTTTGTTGGAAAACGGTACAGTCCAGAGATCAAGCCTGTGACTTTCCTGGTTTGCTCTATCATGTACTGTGTTTGAGAACTAAGCCAGGAAGCCATTTGGCAACCTACATGTAGTCGCGGGAACCTTTCTCACCAGATTTGTTTATGGTTTTGCTTTGTATCCCTACTTCTAAGGCATGTACTTTGTCCATGTAGAGCATGCATCCACAGTTAGAAGTGGGAACATGCCCCAATCTCCAGAATTGTGCATCATCAGTTCTTTTGCAATTTAAAAACTCTTGCCTAGGCTAGATTTTGCACTTATTTGGAACCTGACTTGTCTGGTACTAACAGCTGGGTGCCCTCATAACAACTGGGGCCACGTGCTCACAATAAGTTCTTATTCAAAGAGCTTCATTCACTCAAAGTCCTGGGCAGAGACTGGCACAGGGGAGGTAGTCCTGGAACTTGCATTGGGACAGCTGAGTGCCAGTACAGAGTGGACGTGGCCTTGGAGTGGAGTGGGGACGGCTGCTGGACTTGGGTCTGGAGTGGGCAGTCGGAACACATGTGGAGGCCCTGCACTGAGCTGCTGCAATGTGATGTCGATTTGAAATTTCCTACCTTACTTTAATGTCAACCCTTTAATGATGTCCTCTTTTTAACTTATTTTTCAACTCTGTAAAGTAATGCAATTACTTTTATTCCACTGCTGTAACCAAGCATCGTACCTAGGTCCTTATACTTAAGATGTCACCATAAGAGGGCAGACATATAAAAGCTTTTCACTGTATTCCTACAATGGAGTACATGTGACAGTAAAAGGATATTCTATTCTAATGGCCAAATTGGTGGGTTTACCATGGGATCCTCTCACAATAACATATTTGTCAGTTTCTATTATAAATATGTTTTAATGGAATGATACTTCACACTCCTCCACTTGTACGTTTGTTACATGTGAATCTGCAACTGCATCTAAAAATTTGCTTATACTTGGGGTCCAACCAGTTTTCAAATTAACCTTTGGAGAAATTTAACAAAACCCCTTTCCTCAATGTGCTAGTTAAGAAATCCACTAATAGATTCTGTACTTCCACCTTAAATGTACCTTGACTGGTGAGGATCCACATTGGGATTACCATGGATGCAGGACTGGCCTTATCATCTTCCTCATAAATAGGGTATTTGCTAATTACTAGTTTCATGCTGAAATAGAGTGTATCAAAGACCTTATTCTGCAGGATAGCAATCTTGATCAGATCGCTAACTACGTCAATCGAAATCATGAACTGGATTAAGGAAACCCCTTTTGGTCCTCAAAAGTGCCATCTACTTCAAATTATTATTGAAAGGTAGTGTCTCAACAATGTAAGCAACACGTGAAGCTAGCTATTTCACACAGCTACTGTGCAGTACTAATGAATCATATTAGCTGTTAATAATAGGATGCTGCTGTTCAGCTAAAACACATGTCTACCACACAAACAAATGACATGCTATGTGAATTTCAATGCCAGTGGTGATGGTTTGTGGGACACGCATTACAACGACTGGCCATTCACAAAAGGCAAAGTACTGGCTATGTTCACAATATATTTCCCAACATTAGGTATGATTCCATTATTATGCAGTACTTAATTCTCAGCATGCTAAGAATTGCAATAACAACAAATTCAAATTTATGAGTTGGATTTGCAATTTGCTTATGCTTGGGAGAAGGTATACATATTTATATACTGTTGCATTCTCCATTTCAAACAGAGTTGACTTATCTTCTTTCAACTTAAGTAAAAGCTTTAGACTAACTGTTGTCTGATGCATTCTTTATGCCAACATCTCAACAAATCAGCACCTTGTTTTTCGGGCAATACGAATTGCTCCCTTTGAAAATAGGTATTCTTGCATATTGCCCTGATGAGTACAAGATGAAAAGCTTTCACACCACCTTAATGACAAATTGTTTACAGATATTGATGTTTTCAATAAAATGGAAGAATTGTTATATTTGGATCTTACTCTTTTTCTGATGCTTTTGCAGACAATGCTTTATATTGTAGCTTGCATATTTTGAGCAAAAATCCGCAGCTTACTAGATATGGCATGAATCCTATTATCTCCTGACTTATACATGAGATGGAATAACACAATCAAACTGTCCTTGTATATGAAACACAAAACAGCATGCAGGTATAGTGTGTAATATGAAGGCAACAAACCGTGAGAAAGATTTATTGGAAGTAAGAGAAAACAACAGAAAATACACAGGTTCCAATAGTTTTTTTACTGTATTAAAAATCCCAGTAAAAAAGCACTCATTCTCCCTTCCCTTGAACCCGGATAAACATCTGTCAAGTCCCTATTTTGATGGCCTCTGAAGAATGGTCGTAAGGTGAAACAAAACAACTTTTTCTGTTCTTGATATAAATTTATACCTTGTGAAGCTATTTCACATAAGTGTTCACATATATTCTGAAACTTGTAAAATTAAAAGTACATTCAATCAGCTGTTTTGTGTTTATTTGCAAAAATAGGTATTGGAATCTCAGTGCACCTACATTGCTTAGAGCCTATGGGAACAATTTATGACCTGATAAGGTTGTTTCTAAAGTGCAGCATAGGTCAATGTAGCTTGATTACATTGAAGTCCTGTGGTCAGTTAAGAATGGGAAGGGATCCCGTAAACATGTAGTTCTATTGGTCAGGGTTATGAAACTCCAGAAAAAGAACATTAATGACCACATGGTCTCTCGAAACTGCTCCAGCATTTAATTACATCATGGATGAGCTGGTCTTAGCCTCAGATCCATTTGCCTGCTCATTCCCCATAATCCTTGACCCCACCCCCCAAAAAAAAGTTCAAGAATCTCTCTTGGCCTTGAATATATTCAAAAATTCAGCCTCTGGTTCTCTTGAATAGATAATCTCAAAAGATTCATGACCTTCAGAGAAGAAATTCTTACTCATCGTTATCTTAAATGTCTCCCAATTCTGAAATTATGTTGCAGTTCTAGAAATCCCTAAGAATTTAAACATTCTTCCAGGAGACTGGTAGAGCAGATCCTCATGATCTTCTGTTTCAGTCAAATCAGTTCTCATTCTTTGAAACTCCAATAATTTAGACCAACTGGTCATCATTATCTCATATGACAATCCTTTTCAGGAACCAACCTCATAAACTTTCTCCAAACTGCTTCCAGTGCATATATATCCCTCCTTAAATTGAGACAAAATTTTTACGCAGTGTTCTAGGTCTGAGATCTCTAATGCCCTGTACAGTTGTAGCAAAATTTCCAATATATGTTCCATCCCACTTGTATTAAAAACAAACATTTGATTTGTCTTTATAATAACTTGCTGTACCTTCTAAGTTTTTCTGATTCCTGTGGAATTCCTGTGTACCATGGCATTCTGGAGTTGTCGGTTTGTTCTCCGAGCTGACTGGTTCATGCAAATATTTCATCTCCCTTCTAGGTGACATCATCAGTGCTGTGTAGACTCTGTTGAAGCACTGTTGTTCTGACCCACTCTGAACTTGTATGGTCCAGAATGTCATGTTGGGCAATCTTGTTTCTGGTTTTGTACCGTATGTAGATGGAGTCTATTTCAACATGTTTGTTAATTGCATCAGTGGTTGAAAACCAGGCCTCCAGGAATTTTGTGCTTGTCTTTGTCTTGCTTGTCCTAGTACTGTAACTTTGTCCCAGTCAAATTGATGTTCTTCTATGTCAAAGTGTATTGAAACGAGGGAGAGTTGGTCATGCTGTTTCACTGCAAGCTGGTGTTCATGTACCCTGGTGGCAAGTTTCTTGCCCATCTGTCCTACGTAGTGTTTCTCGCAGTTGCTGCATGGTATTTTATGTATCACATTTGTCCTGCTCATTGTGGGTATGGGATCTTTCATCTTTGAGAGTACTATTCTGTTGCCTCACTCCATTTAAAACTTATTTTACTTTTCTATTCTTCCTACCAAAGTGGATAACATCACACTTTTTATATTGTATCCCATATGCCAAATTTTTGCCACTCACCTTTCTATATAATATTTCAGAACCTTTAGCATTTTCTCACACACCCACCTGCCCAAATTTTTATGAGCTGTTAACCTTTGCAGTAAACGTTTATGTTGCACCTTACTGAAGTCCTTGGAAATCTAAATACACTGCTTCTGCAGGTTCCTCTTTTTCACACTGTTTGCAACTCTCATAAATTTGCTGATCGCTATTTCCCCCTCATAAAACCATGGTGCCTCTGCTTGATTATACGATGATTTTCTAAATGTCCTGCTGCTACTTCCTTAATATTGGAGTGCAGCATTTTATCAATGTCATATTAGCCTAATTAACATATTTCTTCCTGCTATCTCCCTTTTTACTTGAATAGAAGCATTACATTTCAGTTTTTCAGAATCTAGGGAATTTTAGAAAATTAGAACTGCTTGCATCTGCTGTCTTTGTGGCTGCTACTCTTAAGGTAGCCCAGGGGACAAGTTGCCTCTATTCCCAGTAATTTCCCAAGTTGTATCTTTAGTGTAACGATTGTTTTAAGTTCTGTCCATCCCTTTTGCCCTCTGACTTTCAGCTTTATTGGGTTTGTTTATGTTCACTCTACCATGAAGACATACAAAATATTTGTTCCGAGTCTCCATCATTTCCCTTTTCACATTGCTTATTCCCCAGTCTCATTCACAAAGGGACCAATCCCTTCCTACAGTTGGTTGCTTCTTTATGTACTTAAAGAAAGTCATTATTTTGATTTTTCTTTTAGTTTACTCAAACTATTTTCTTACTCAGTTTTTTTAATCATTCTTTGGGCTTTTTAAATATTCCCAACCTTCTCGTCTATGACTAATCTTCACAACATTGTACCCCTTTTCTTGTGCCCAGTGACAGTGAAGGGATAATGATATAGTTCTAAGTTTGGAGGATGTGTGACTTCGATGGGCATTTGTAGGTATGTGTTGGTCCCAAGCCTTTACTGACCTTGTCCTTCTAGATGGTACAGTTCACAGGTTTGGAAAGTGTTGTCAAACACTTGATGACTTGCTTTGCAGTGCATCAACACTATAGGGATTCTATGATTCTATAAAAAAAATCTTGCAGATGGTACAGGTAGCTCTCCTAAAACATGATAGGTACGTTCTTGTGTGATCTCACGCTATAGAAGATCACCATAGATAGGGAAATCACTATCGAAAATCGCTATGGTGTAGAGCAGAAAGTTTATGTTATCCAATCGCTTAACAGCCAATTAGTGTTAACGAAACACGCATTATAGCAGAACTACCTGTATACAGGAATGCTACTGTGCACTGGTGGTGGAGGAACTAACTAAATGTTGAAGGTTGTGGATGTCAATAGTTGATAATTCAGCGACTGTAAAGCCATTGAAAGATGGTAAGAATTTCTCCTGTTGGAGATGGTCATTGCTTGGCACTTGTGTGGAGCAAATGTTACTTGCTACTTATCAGCACTAACCTGGATGTTGATAGTTCTTACTAAATATAGATGTGGAATGCTTAAGTATCTCGAGTCGCAAATGTCACTGAATGTTGTATAAACATTAGCTAATATGTCGTCTTCTGACTTCTTATGATGGAGGGTATCATTGATGAATTAGCTGAAAATGATTGGACCTTGGAGATGATCATGAGGATCTCCTGCAGAGATAATTGACCTCTGTTGTGATCCCAGCTATTGTTACTACTGAACAAATTACACCCCAGATTGAAATCTGTCTTGAGAGATTGTAGATTTTGTTCATTCACTGAAACAGACATGCAAGGATGCAGATTTTCAATAAAATAGACATTTATTACCCAAAAAAAAGCAAAATCAAAGCAAGCTGTTTACATATAGAATGCAATTTGAAAGATCTTAAACACACAACATAACAAAATCTCAAAGTTGCTGGAAAAGCTCAGCTCAAGGGTTTTGAGGAAGGGTCACCAGACCCAAAACATTAACTCTGTTTTCTCCTTCACAGATGCTGCCAGACCTGCTAAGCTTTTCCAGCAACTTTGTTTTTGTTCCTGATTTACAGCATCCGCAGTTCTTTTGGTTTTTATAACAAAATCTATTCTCCAACACCATCACATTACTGTATTTCCAATCCAGATAAATGATCCTGTTGTATCAAATCTTGACTTAACTGTGTCTCCTCAGTTCTTTCCTGTAAGCCTGTCAATCTTGGTTTTTCTAAGCTCACATCAATCCTTGGTTATCCTAAACCAAAAGCAAGTTAATCCTTTCCAATATTTATTCCCAGTCATAATCTCCACAGTATAAACAAAAAGTCTTGCATTAACACTCGCGAAGGCTTCAGCTCACCTGTTCTGACTTGTACTGGATTAGGCTCTGGAAAGGATTCTGAGTTTTTTTTTACAGATCTTCACAATGTAACCAATACTCATCTGCCACTAGATTGAAACCCAAACTATAAATAAATTATATGAATGTGAATCACACACCTTTCATCATACCTCAAACAATTACACCTATTTTCTATTGTTCAAAGTATTATTCCAGCCAGCTGTGATATTTCCCCTAATTCCCTCCAATTTTGTCAGGATTCCCTGATGCCACACCTACTCAAATGCTGCCTTGATGTCAAAGGCAATCACTCTCACTTTGCCTCTGAAATTCAGTTCCTCTGACCATGTTCAGACCAAAGCTGTATCGTAAGAAGCTGAGTAGCCCTGGTGAAATTTGATTTGATTTGATTGTCGTGTGTATTCAAGTACATAAGTACAGGAGTACAGTGAAAAGTGTATAATGTCGCCCCACACAGTGCCATCTCAGGTACAGAATCTTAAGAACAAAGTTGGAAGTTAAACATTGCAGTAGTTATAGTAAAGCAGAAAACATACGAAATAAGGTTAAAAGTTACAAATTGCAGACCTTCTTAGTTTGAAGTAGAAAATAAATAAAGACAGAAGTTTGAAACATTACAGTCTTTATTAAGGACTTAGCTTTGGTGGGACCACACTTCGAGGGATCACCTCGAGACTGGAAGTCCACCCTGAGGCCATGCCAGACTGAAACAGTCATGTACAGCTGAAAGACTGCCATGCTCGGCCGAGAGTCTGCTACACCAGGCTGAGAGTCCTCTACACTGGGCCGAAAGTTCACCTTGCCGGGCCGGGGGGGGGGCCACTATACCAAGCCAGGAGGCCGCCACGCCAGGCTACGAGGTCATCTGCTGGTTATGTGCTGAGTCCAAGCCAAAGAGTCAGAGGCTAGAAGTTTGTGGCCGGGAGAAGAAGAGAGGAAGGAAAAAAAATTACACCAAAGAGAAAAAAGGAAGTTGATGAGCTCCATCTAGAGCACCCCACTCCACCGCCATCAAAACTGAGCATCAGTGAGCAGGTTATTGCTGAGGAAACGCTACTTCTGAATACTGTTGATGACTCCTTCCATTACTTTTCTGAGGATTAGTAATTGGCCTAATCAGATTTGTCTTGCTTGTTGCAAACAAGATATAAGTGGGCCATTTTGCCCAAAATGGAATGTGCAAATTTATAATTGCACGTTAACAGCTAGGCTAAGTGTACAATGAGCTCTGGAGCACAAGTTTTCAGAATTATTACTGGAATGTTAGATCATAAGATATTTGAGTAGAAGTAGGTTATTTGACCCATTGAGATCCATTCAGCCCATGTTGTCAGAGCCCATAGCTGTTGCAGTATCCAGTGCCCTCCACCATTTTGTGATATCACGTGGTACGAAATGAATTGTCTCAAATTATTATTTTATGAATACGCTTCCTTAGTGAAGTCTTTATGATGAGATTGAGAATTATTCTTTTTTCAGTGTGCATGACTAGATTTATGATAGCCTGTTCCCTAATTGATTCCGTTATGTTCATGATAAATTAGTGAGTTTATATGATTAGGGAATAGTTTATGTTGAACAGGTTTGTTAAAAGGAGACTCCAAACTGCTTCATGTTTCCAGGCAGTGACTAAACATCAACTCACAACTGGCAGCTGTGCCTGTGTGTTTAAGCATCACACTGCCAACCCACATCAACCACCACCCCCTCAACCCACTCCCAAGTGATGATTATTAATCTTTGGATTTTGGTAATTTGGAAGTAATGAAAATGTCTCAATTTAAGAACATTCAGTATGCCAGCCAGGATCATGGAGAAGTCATAGATAATGTTTCAGATTTTTGCAGTGTACGCAATGTGACAGATTGACTGCAGGGCACTGATATTTGAAGCAATCAACAACCTCCAATGTCACATTGACCATGCTAAGAGAAATTGAGAAAATTCCAAACTGTGAAATGTGCCTTCCTGATGCTGACAGTCAAATCAAACTCTTTACTGGCACTAGAGAGTGCAATAACTCAGAAACCCAATTGGAAAGGAACAACATTGTTGAACACCAAAACAGAGCCACTACTTGTGGCATACATAGGCTAATCCCAACCTGGGACAGACCGTTCTACAGACCTGTCTCCATGTATGCTTTTTCTTTTTACTATCTGGGAAAGATATCACACATAACCAAACAGCTTTTCCACCACCCAAATCACCAAGTTTTTCTTTGTTTTAAACAATCAACCACAATCAGTAATCACCTGTGTAGTCAATTGGATATTTGCATTGTTTGCATTTCACAATGGGCTAACTATCAATAGTGAGGACGGGGGTGTGGGTCTGTTTTATATTTTTACTTTTTAAATCCAGAAGTATTATCAAACACAACTGAACGGCTTTTCCACCATCAAATCACTGACTTTTTTGTTGTTTAACTATTAACCACCATCAGTAATCACCCGTTCAGCCAATTAGAAGTTTACATGCAAATCCCACAATGAGCAGTGCAAACCATAAAAAGTGGGGGATGGGTGTTGGTAAGGTGTAGGTCTGCTTTTCTCAATTTAGTTTTTTTTGTATTATTTGCATATTTTGAAATATAGTATTTATTCCCGTGTCTAAATATTTCTAATCAATCTGTTCAAAGATGTTATTACACACCTCTGGAATGGGTGGGACTTGAATCCTAGCCTCCTGGTTCAAATGTAGGGATACTACCTCTGTATCTCAAGAGCCCACCAAAGAAGGCATAAACAATGGATCCTCGAATTCCAGAGCTGAGGTTCTACCAACTGAGCTACCATTTTTAACCTACTTTTCTAACCAAAATGTTCAGAGATGTTATTACACATCTCTGGAACAGGTGGGACTTGCTCAAAGGTAGGGGTACTACCACGACACCACAAAAACCCTTGCATGCGTTGTCTGTTTTTATTTTTTCTACCCAGGACAGTTACGTACAACTGAGTGACCTTCCCTTCAGCAAAATCACGGTGACTTTTTTGCTTTTTTTTTAAAACTAATAACCACCACCAGTAAAAACACCAGTAGCTAACTGAGTACTTACATGCAAAGCCCATTATGGGCAATGCAAACCATCAATGGTGAGAGGGGCTGAGGAGAGCAGTAAGGGTCTAAATCAAAATGACATGAAGGTTGGTGGAGTTGTGGATAGTGTGGAGGGCTGTTGTAGGTTGCGACGGGACATTGACAGGATGCAGAGCTGGGCAAAGGAGTGGCAGATGGAATTCAAGCCAGAAAAATGTGAAGTGATTCATTTTGGAAGATTGAATTTGAATGCAGAATACAACGTTAATAGCAGGATTCTTGGCAGTGTGGAGGAACAAGGGGATCTCGGGGTCCACATCCATAGATCCCTCAAAGTTGCCACCCAAGTTGATAGGCTGGTTTAGAAGGTGTATGGTGTGTTGGCTTTCATTGGCAGGGGAATTGAGTATAAGAGGTTACGCGAGGTTTTGCTGCAGCTCTATAAAACCCTGGTTAGACCACACTTGGAATATTGTGTTCAGTTTTGGTTAGAGAGGGTGCAGAGGAGATTTACCAGGATGCTGCCTGGAATGGAGGGTAGGTCTTATGAAGAAAGGTTGAGGGAGCTAGGACTTTTCTCATTGGAGCGATGAAGGATGAGAGGTGACTTGATAGAGGTGTACAAGATGATGAGAGGCATAGATAGAGTGGATAGCCAGAGATTTTTTCCCAGAGTGGAAATAACTATTACAAGGGGGCATAATTTTAAGGTGATTGGAGGAAGGTATAGGGGAGATGTCAGAGGTAGGTTCTTTTCACAGTGAGTGGTGGGTGTGTGGAATGTACTGCTGGCAGTGATAGTGGAGTCAGATACATTAGGGACATTTAAGCGACTCTTGAATAGGCATCTGGCTGATAATAAAATGTAGGGTATGCAGTGTAGTTTGATCTTAGAGTAGGTCGGTACAACACCATGGGCCAAAGAGCCTGTACTGTGCTGTACTGTTCTATGTTCTAAAATGGAATTGGAGGAGGAAATAAATCACTTTATTGCCCTTGGTGCCCACCTCTCTCTAAAGGCATCAAGAGCATTGATGGACACCACATACTCCTTCTCCAATGATATTCAGGCATGAATGTAACTGTGGAAGAGGGGGCTGCTTTATTTTTTTTCTTTTTTCACTCAACAACAGCCCCTCCTCAGTCGGTGAGGTGTTTATTTATTTGAAATTGATGATGGAGAAGCTGATTTAGTGAAGAAACTGTCAACAAGTTCTCTTTCAATGCATGCTTTTGAATTTCAGGATTGTGTCAATCACTGCAGATGTGTCTGTCATCTTTAAAAGCTTAAAGTTTTTTTTATAATAGTTTGGAGTTCAACACAGCTAGATTTTTTCTGAATATTCAGCAGTGAGTTCTGTTAACAAATTTGTGGGCAAAATGACATATTTCCAGTAATTTAAAGGAAAAATATGACTGTCAGGCAAGGCTGGGGTTCTTTTCGGTGGCTCCTTTGAGTGATGTGGTTGAAACATCAGTTGCAAAAATGTCTGGTTGTTGGTGAACAGAGAAGAGCGTGTGGCCTCCCCTTCCAGGGTCTGCTTTATTAATTTTTAAAATTTAACCTATTTTTCTAATCAACCTGTTCAGAGATGTCATTACACGCCTCTGGAGCAGGTGGGACTTCAACCTGGGCCTCCTGGCTTAAAGGTAGTGATACTACCATTGCAAAAGAGCTCTCTGCAAACAGTCGCAGCATGACCTGAACCTGTAATCTTCTGCTAATACCTTGGTTAATACTGAAGTCAGACATCTTATTCATTACGCTAAGCAACTACCTTAAACAAATGCTAAAATGGGAGAGGAACTGCTTATTCTGCAAGAATGAGAAAGGCCGACAAACTTACTGAAACAGTGAGGTTCAGGCGATGACTTTCGGCTGGGTCAGCCATTGCCTGTTACCGAGGGAACTCGTACTCAATGAGCTCCACTAGGAGATTAATTACTGATTCCCCACCGGCCTTTTGAGGATTATCTTAAAGATTTTGAGTATTTGCTGCTGCAGATATTCCTCAATATGGAAAGATAGTAACATTGTCAGTGTAGAGTAACTCTCTGATGATGGCTTGGTGCATCTTTGTCTTGGAACTCAGACAAACAAGGCTGTAAAGAGACGCTCTCTGTGAATATCCTGAAGGCATATTCCAGGAGCAAAGTGAGGAATGAATACGCCAAGGACTGTCAGTGCCAGAACACCGACTGCACTGTGCATTGATGTTGTTCTGTCATGTAGTTGATCTTACCCATTGTATTGTCATGGTAGAGATCACATTGAGCAATTTTGAACGGCAGCTTGAATGGACTGTCTCTGTCCACATGGCTGAATGCATTTGTTAGATCAATGAAGGCAATGCACAATGGTCTCCTTTATCACTGTGTTGCTATTGCAGTTGCTGGATTGAGAAGTTCATGACAATTGTAGAAATTCCAGTTCTGAAAAATACTGGGATTTGAGGTAAATGGATTCAGCAGGAACTACCGTCTGACAAGGGCAACATAGCCAAATACTTTGCTGAAGATGCTCAACAGGAAGCTGCCATGCAAGTTTTTGCAATTCTGCTGTTGCCCCATTTCTGCAGCAGAGACAGAGAAGTTATCACAGATGCTGCAAGAGTACCAGTTTCTCATATTTTATGAGTTCATATGGTACACTATCAGTACTTGCAACTTTGCCCATGGCAAGTGAATTAATATTCAGTATATTATGGAAAAAGTTATACACTGAATATTAACTCCACTTTCCCTAAAGGCTACCAGTGAACCTGATGTGGTTTTGCTGACAACCAGCAATGGATTCATGGTCATCACTGGACTCTCAATTTCAGCTTTTTTCTCAATTGAACTCAAATTCTATCATCTGTCACGGTGGGATTCGAATGCAGATCCCTGGAACATTACCTGGGTCTCTGAATTAACAGTCCAGTGATAATACCACTAGGGCATTACATCCCCTAATTGGGCTCCAACAACCATGACCATCTTCCTGTGTGCTACGTATGATCCCAACCAGTGCAGAATATTTCTCCTGATTCCCATTGACTTTAAATTTGATGTCACCTTGATGTTACCCCCTCTTTAGTTCAGTTCTTTTGCCCATGTTTGGACCAAGGCTGCAATTAAGGCAGCAGCTGAGTAGTCCTGGTGAACCACAAAATGGGAATCAGTGAGCAGGTTACTGCAGTGTAAATGCTGCTTGATAACACTGTTGCAAACCCTTCCATTATTTTGTTGATAATTGAAAGATGGTTGATGGCATGGTAATTGGCCAGATTGGATTTGTACCGCTTTTTGTGGACAGGTCATATTTGGGCAGTTTTCCACATTGTCAGCTAGATGCCAGTGTTATAGCTGTACTGAGCGGCTAAGCTACAGATGTGGCTAGTTCTGGAGGATAAGTCTCCAGTGCTATTGCTGGAATATTGACAGGGCAGTTGGATGTTAGACTTGTATCAGTTAGCACTTTTCTAGTGTTGCTTTCCATATTTTGAGAGTGCAGTATTGTTGATGGTATGTTTCATTTTATTTTGGTATTCATTGTTGGAATGCTGGTGAATGCGTGTCGTGTTGAGGAACTGTTGGTTTTTACTTGGTAGGCAGCATGTTTGATATTTCTGCTTTTAAGGGTTCCATCCACTGTGTCACACCAGAATGTCTCCAGGGCACTGTATCCTGGATGTCTCCAGGCAACATTATGGTATGGCTTCTTCTGAAAGGTGTTAAAAAGCTTGTGACAGTGGTGAAGCTTAATTAGTTTCTGCCTGTTTTCATATATCTTTCTGAGGTAGCAGGGCCATGTCTTATGGTTTGCATCCACTCTTGCACTGAAATCCCCAGTGGATAAAGATATCCTGACTTGGGGATTCTTTTGACAGTGCCTAGCTCCTCATAGAACTTGTCTTTCACCTCTATCATGGAGCACTGTTATGGAGCATAGGTACCCATGAAGTTAACAGACCCTGCTTGAGTTCAGAAGTGGATGGGGAGAATATATTTTGAACTAGCTGGAGTGAGTTCCATCACCAAAATTAATAATTTCCTTACAACAAAACCTACACCAGGTGCACAAACCTGCTCTGAACCCTTCCCTACCAGATGAATATGTTTTTCTTTCAGTGATCCACTCTTTGTGAATATGGTGTCTTGGAGGGAAGCCGTGTTGATATTCAGCCCAAGTTCCACGTGAATCACTGTTGTCTTCTGCATATTATCGTCCAGCTGCAAGTTGTCTGTCGGCACGTGGTTCTGACATTCAAGCCTACTAACAGAATAGTTTGTGTCTTCTTTCTTTTCATGTTTTTCACTTGTTTGCCTGGTGTGATAGATTCCATTCGCTTGTTGAGCAAGACCTGTAAGACGTAAGCCCCCTTTGAAGCAGATGGACCAGTGGCAAGTCAGCAGCTCATTATTTGGGAACTGCCCAACTTGAAGTGAGCAGTGCTTTTCTTAGCAGCATAGAATGCACCTTCCAACATCAGCTGACAGCTATTGTTTTCTATGGCAATGAAATTGGCCTTATCACTTGTAACTGGTGTTTCCAATGTTGTGTTAATATTCCACAGAGAATTTGAGACGTCCTCTTCCGCACAAAATGTATGAAGACCCAGAGCAGCCCAAAGATCAGGGTTCCACTCCTTAGTTGATTCTAAAGGAATACAGAGCATATTGTTTGATTGCAGCAGTTACTGGAAAATGACCAATGTAGATATCAGTCTGTCTTTGGCTCCACTAAATTTTAAATAATGTTTTGCTCCCTTAGCCTTAACCTCTCCTGTGGTATTTAAAAGGCTGTGGGGTTATTCACCCATTGCTGGAGTTTGATTCACAAATACCAAGGCATTCCAGTGGGTTAATGCTCAACTATTCCTGTTTTCTCAGGATAACTGTTTTAAGAATAACCAGCAGTATGATTTAGGAAATTGGTGGAGGGGTGAATGTTGGCTGGACATTCCTACACTACTTTGAAAAAGTGCCCTTGTATGTATTTTATTCAGCTAAACAGCATCTGAAAATCTCATGAAAAACAGTACCTGTAACATGTTTTAGAGTAATATATAAGCCATGTCTTTCTAAGGCTGAGTCAAAAGAGATACCTTTAAAGGAACAAGTTATCTCAAAATGCTTGACCTCACCTGAACCATTTCTCAAGTGTTGTCACTCCTGCAATGTAGGAAGTATGGCAGCCAATTTGCACAAACACAGCTATGACAATGGTCAGATGATCTGGTTTTGTGGTGTTCGCTGTGAGATAAACGCTTAACAACCTCTCTCACTCTACCTCGAAACGATGAGCAGGGATCCGTTCATTTGTGCATCCGTCGTCGAAACTCACCTTAACGGCAGGTGAAACTGTCCTTCTGCCAACAGGGCCTCGGAGAAACCCTCCAAGAACACCACACCACTCCATAGCGTCAAATGAAAAACACGAAGCAAACATAGTAGGAACTGCAGATGCTGGAGAATCCGAGACAACAAGGTGCAGGGCTGGATGAACACAGCAGGCCAAGCAGCATC